TGTTGACAACATTTAAACTGATTGACACAATATTAATATTAATAATAACACTCTTCTAATGAATATTCAACGAAAACACATATTTTATTCATTGAATACTGTTTTTGCATTGAATGGCAAATGAGAAGTAAAAATTTCAATGAAAATATTCATTGATTTTTTGAAATAAATCATTAAATATTATACCAAAGAAACAAATTGATGGCAAATAAATGCTAAACAAAAAATTATATGCAAATCATATATTCATATCCGACGGAAGCCTCACTTTCACAAATCACTTTCACCATCATTACAGACAAATGCCATTAAAAAACACTACATAATTAATACTAAACCCTACAATTAACATCCCGGTATATTTGCCTATTAAAACACACATGTTCATAAAACCCAAAACCCATCTACGCTAACCATCATTAAAAACCCAATCACGATATATAACCCAACACTACTCTCCGCAGGAACAAACACTGTGACCTAAAAGACCCTGATCAAAATGACCATCTCGTTTACTTTCAAGTGTACACTATATGGTGTGGCAATGTTTATGACATGTTGTGTACACGCGATTGATTGGGTGTTTGCGTCCACTCAGCGATTGTTGACAACATTTAAACTGATTGACACAATATTAATATTAATAATAACACTCTTCTAATGAATATTCAACGAAAACACATATTTTATTCATTGAATACTGTTTTTGCATTGAATGGCAAATGAGAAATAAAAATTTCAATAAAAATATTCATTGATTTTTGAAATAAATCATTAAATATTATACCAAAGAAACAAATTGATGGCAAATAAATGCTAAACAAAAAATTATATGCAAATCATATATTCATATCAGACGGAAGCCTCACTTTCACAAATCACTTTCACCATCATTACAAACAAATGCCATTAAAAAACACTACATAATTAATACTAAACCCTACAATTAACATCCCGGTATATTTGCCTATTAAAACACACATGTTCATAAAACCCAAAACCCATCTACGCTAACAAACCATCATTAAAACCCCAATCACGATATATTGGCCAACACTACTCTTGCCAGGAACAAACATTGTGACCTAAAAGACCCTGATCAAAATGACCATCTCGTTTACTTTCAAGTGTACACTATATGGTGTGGCAATGTTTATGACATGTTGTGTACACGCGATTGATTGGGTGTTTGCGTCCACTCAGCGAAGCGTCCATAATATACAACACATACCGTACTATCCATACAATCCGTACACTATATGCACGCATAACACAATCAATTCGCGTATAAAAACTACAATCAATAGCTGTTACGTAAGCATTGGGTCTAATATTTGTTATTATTAGTCAACATTTCTTTGCCCCACAAATATTATCATCAAAAGACATCTATGTAATCTCTCTCTCTCTCTCTCTCTCTTTCGGCCAACTGTTCGCCAATACAAGCGATCACTTTCAAGCCCTCCTCCAACGCGTGACCAACTTTTTCTCCGATTAACTGTACATTTCATTCATCAAAAATCACAATTATTTTTCAATTATTGAAGAGAGAGAGAGAGAGAGAGAGAGAGAGAGAGAGAGAGAGAGAGAGAGAGAGAGAGAGAGAGAGAGAGAGAGAGAG